TGGCTGAAACTTCGGTGAGTAACTGTCAACAGATGAACAACGAAATTCACTAGCTTTTATTTACAAGTGCTGCTATCTTCACGTTGAGGTCGGAAACTTTTCAGACCACCCTCGTATTTAGCTACAAAACCGATATAGCAGCAACAGCAGTAGCAGTTATGCAAATTTAAATTAGTTACAGCAACAAAAACATTTTCAGCGAACCATGACTAGCTGCGACAGAAGAATCTCTTTTTTGTGAACGTGTGAGACTGGAAGCAATATCGTGGTTTTTGCTTTTACGTTTTATTCCTACGACTTGCCGTCCGGCAACGCCGGCTAGTTGCCGCACCTTCTCGCGTAATTATTGCGCGTGCGAAACTTTTTTTCTTTCAACGTTGATAGTCGTAGTGCGGAGTATCCGTTCCGCTGGACGTTGCGGACGCGATATTATAGGGCAGATTCTCGATTTATTTATTTTTTCTCGCGAGCTATTAATTTATTTCTGCCGCGCTCCCGCGAATATCGCTGTCGCGCCGGTCGTCAATTATGAGCAATGTGCGCATTATCTTCCTGAAAACAATTAAAATGCTCTCTAGGCGCCATATCGGCAAAACTTTATCGTCTCTAACCACACGCCCGTCGATGATAGCGCGCGCGCATGGACGCCCCTTCGTAATTGTGCAAGATTACGTAGCAGGGTCAACCGTACTGTCGGTTTATACGATCTGTTGTGCTCGCGCGACAACGTCATAAACTCGTTCGTTCGAATATATTTTCACGAGTCGACCGGTTCTCGCCATCTCTATCCCGCTCATGTTACACCACTTTTCTCCCTTCCCTCTGTATCTTCGCACATTTATACTTATTTTTATATTGTTTCTCTCTCCACACTCTCAATTGCTAATCACTTCACTTTTATTCGTTTCTTAATACATTTTCTTCTTTTTCTCCTTCATATCTTAATATTTATGCAACTTTATTTCCATCTTTACATCATCTTTCTCGTGTCATATTTCTTCGCGTCTATCTTATTTTTTCTGTTTGTTTTATTAATGTCTGTTGTTTTAAATCTACATTTGAGGATTCATTGTGGAATGTTAAATGCTCTTATCTATCTATCTGTCTCTCTCTTTCTGCTAGAAAATGGAGGCGTATAAATTTCGCATGCGTATAAAATTTCTACAGAGAGAAAGATAAGCCTCGCAAGTTATTACGCGAATGACATCACATACGTCCTCCGAATATCGAGTTCACGCGATGCGGAAACGCGCAACATTTGATCTTGTCGCGGTAAATGCCGACGACAAGTATCTTCGCAAAGCTCACGTCGACGATTCCGTATTATGTGCGCGGAAAATCGAACGACGGCGCGCGTCGGTCTCTCTTTCTCTCTCGTTGCAGCGTTAAATGCATTTTTCCGACGGTAATTCG